AGCCACCCAGGAATAAACCCACACACTTATGGTCAAGTAATCTATGACAAAGGAGGCAAGAATATGCAATGGGGAAAAGACATTCTCTTCAATAAGTAGCGCTGGAACAGCTGAACAGCTACATGTAAAAGACTGAAATTAGAACATTTTCTCACGCCATATACAAAAATAAACTCAAAATGGATTAAAGACTTAAATTTAGGACCATAAACTATAAAACCCCTAGAAAAACACACAGGCAGAGCACTCTTTGACAAAAATTGTAGCAATATATTTTTTGGATCTGTCTCCTAAGGCAAAGGGAAGAAAAGCAAAAATTAACAAATGGGACCTAATTAAATTTAAAAGCTTTTGCACAGTAAAGGAAACCATCAACAAAATGAAAAGATAACCTACTGAATGGGAGAAAATATATGCAAATGATATGACCAAAACCGGTTTAATATCCAAAACAGACAGCTCATACAACTCAATATTAAAAAAAAAGACCTGAATAGACATTCTTCTTCAGAAGCCATACAGATGGCCAACAGGCACATGAAAAGATGCTCAACATTGCAAATCATCAGAGAAATGCAAATCAAAACCACCATGAGGGGCTTCCCTGGTGGCGCAGTGGTTGAGAGTCCGCCTGCCGATGCAGGGGACACGGGTTTGTGCCCCGGTTCGGGAAGATCCCACATGCCGCAGAACAGCTGGGCCCGTGAGCCATGGCTGATGAGCCTGCGTGTCCGGAGCCTGTGCTCCGCAACGGGAGAGGCCACAACAGTGAGAGGCCCGCATACCACAAAAAACCAAACCAAAACAAAAAAACACAATGAGATATCACCTCCCATGTGTCAAAATGGCTATAATCAAAAAGACCACAAATAACAAATGTCAGCGAGGATGTGGAGAAAAGGAACACTGTACACCTTTGGTAGGAATGGAAATTGGTGCAGCCACTATGGAAAACAGTACAGAGGTTCCTCAAGAAACCAAAAATACAACTACCACATGATCCAGCAATTCCACTCCTGAGTGTACAGCCAAAGAAAATAAAAACACTAATTTGAAAAGATACATGCACCACAATGTTCATAAGCATTATTTATGCTAGCCAAGATATGGAAGCAACCTAAGCGTCCATCAACAGATGAATGGGTAAAGAAAATATGGTATATATACACAATGGAATACTACTCAGTCATAAAAAAGAATGAAATTTTACCATTTTCAACAACATGGATGGACCTAGAGAGTATTATGATTAGTGAAATAAGTCAGACAGAGAAAGACAAATGCTATATGGTATGACTTATATTTGGAATCTAAAAAATAAAATGAATAAATATAACAAAACAGAAACAGACTCAAAGATATAGAGGACAAACTAGTGGTTACCAATGGGGAGAGGGAAGTGGGGAGGGACATTATAGGGGTAGAGGATTAAGATGTACAAACTACTGTGTATAAAATAAATAAACTAAAAGGATATATTGTACAGCACAGGTAATATAGCCAATATTTTATAATAACTTTGAATGGAGTATAATCAATAAAAATTTTGAATCACTATGTTGTATACTCAAAACTAATATAATACTGTAAATCAACTATACCTAAAAAAAAAAGATCACTGATCACAGATCACCATAAAAAAATAATAACAATGAAAAAGTTTGAAATGTGAGAATTACCAAAATGCGACACAGAAACACAAAGTGAGCAAATGTTGTTGGGAAAATGATGCCAATAGACTTGCTTGATGCAGGGTTGCCACAAACCTTCAATTTGTAAAAAATACAGTATCTGCAAAGTGCAATAAAGCAAAGTGCAATAAATGAGGTTAGTCTGTACCTATTTTTTGTATAAGCAAAACTCCTCTTCAGATTTCTTTTGGTTAGCACAAACAGATACTAATGCAGGTCTTTCATAAAAAACGTAGCGGCGTAAAGTGAATTTCGAAAAGCGGGAGATACCTGTATTTCTAAAACTCCTTTTAAGCTCTTTCCAGGACAACTTCATGCCTGTCTTACATGTATCTCAGCAACTTCCCTTTAGAGGTGATATCCACTTTGAAGAGCCTGATTTATTTCCTGCCATATTTCTTTTTTCCCCAAGGCTTCAATCACAAAGCATTCTATACTTCTGCTATCTGCTTTACCTTCCTTTTCTATTCCTAACCCTCAGTCCCTCTGAGTAGGGAATGGAATTGGGAAGAAAGAACTAATGAACTCTCAAAAGAGTTATTTACACCTCTATACATACTAGTTAGAAGAGGCAGAAGTTATCTTATTGTCCCCTCTATTTGCTACACAAATTTTACTTTTTTGTCATCTTCATCCAGAGTATCCCTGATAGGTGTTTTTAGGACCTCAACTATTATTAGGTAGACATGCTGAAAATCAAATAATTAAGAGAGGACATAATTTCACACATAAAGACTTTATAGTCACTCTGTATAACACAAACTTCTATATGCTAGAAGTTTTCGTGAGGAGAACTGTTGATAAGAGAATTTGATTGACTCAGCTTTTTATAATTGGTTGCTTACATTATACTGGACAATTATTTCCTTCTATAACAGTAATTGAGTATATGACTAGGAGGACTATTGTATATGAAATAGTCATATGAAAAATTTTAAGCATTTTTTAGGTTTATACTTCAAATGTCGATAAAAGATACAAGATACAAGATCTCTCTTCTGATGCTGAAATTTTATCTTGATAAAATTAGTTTGTTTTCAAACTATCTCCATTTTTTTAATAAAATAAATTGGAAGTGAACTTAGGATGTTTAAAGAAAACAAAAAAAATCCTAGATAGTTGCTGACTTTAATAAATTTTTAATATTACTAGTGTATAAATTTTAAGTAGCATTTACATTATTTCTGCTTATGTTTATTCCCTGTTTAATTTCAATTTGACATAGAAGTGGGGCTTTCCATTTAGCTAAAATTGAGAATCCAAGTATTACCATATTTTAATCTTTTGGAAGTAAGGAAGAGACACACTGTAACCCTTGGAGCTTAGATTTGTGGTCTAATAGCTGTAGATTTACTTGGTTAGCCTTATGCAGTATTAGACCTGGGACTTACTAATGCTTTGGCAAAAATAAAAAATAGCAGCTAAACTAATGCATCAGGTTGTCTTTTATTATATATGAATGGTCTAAAAGTAAGAAAAAATATTCGTACTCATGTCTTTTAAAAACAAAATTTATTTAAAAAATTAATTTTCAAAATAACTTTTGATAAATATGAAAATTATATTGACATTTTACTGATCAGAGTATAAAATAATCTTTATTTTGTTCTGTACCTCAGTAAGTATTCTGTAAATTTACTTTCATTTGTGTAAAATTTCATTTATGACTAAAGTTTGTGTATACTTCCAAATGACTAATAACATGAACTTATCAGATTGTAGTTGGGAAAATATTCTCACTCAGTTTATAATATAATCTAGACTTTAAATATATGTTTCAAGCCAGAAAATAACATATTTTTCACAGTAAAGTTTACATAGCATAGCGGTTAGCTATATGCTTAATAAAAAAATTATCTTGAGTCCAAATCCATAGGAATGTACAACAACAAGCGTGAACCAAAATGTAAAGTATGGACTTTGGATAATTATGATATATCAATTTAGGTCCCTCAATTGTAACAAATGTACCACTCTGCTGGGGAATGTTGATTGAAGAGGCTGTGCATGTGTGGGGGCAGGAGGTATATGGGAAATCTCTGTATCTTCCCCATAATTTTGCTCTAAACCAGAAAAACTGCTCTAAAATAATCAAGTCTTAACTTTAAAGAATTAAGCCAATAAAAAAATACTCTTGACTTTCTCTCGTAATTTTTCAAGCTATTAAGAGACTTCTTGCTAAAACTGCACTACAGATCATAACTTGTTCATTTTACAACTCTCAAATAACAGGAAGAGGCATAAAGAAGCTTCTTGGATTTGTATCATTTTTGTACATTACTGCATTGTTGGAAGAGTCTTAGACACAAAGGAGAAAATCAAGATTTCTTAGGTTTTGAAAAATGCTTCTGAACTTATCTGTAAAAATATGAAAAGAAGCTGTGTTTAAAACAGAGTAGGCAACCTAAGTGTCCATCATCGTATGAATGGATAAAGAAGATGTGGCACATATGTACAATGGAATATTACTCAGCCATAAAAAGAAACGAAATTGAGCTATTTGTAATGAGGTGGATGGACCTACAGTCTGTCATACAGAGTGAAGTAAGTCAGAAAGACAAAGACAAATACCGTATGCTAACACATATATATGGAATTTAAGGGGAAAAAAATGTCATGAAGAATATACATAAAGAACCTACATAAAAACACAGACCTACTAGAGAATGGACTTGAGGATACAGGGAGGGGGAAGGGTAAGCTGTGACAAAGTGAGAGAGTGGCATGGACATATATACACTACCAAACGTAAAATAGATAGCTAGTGGGAAGCAGCCGCATAGCACAGGGAGATCAGCTTGGTGCTTTGTGACCACCTAGAGGGCTGGAATAGGAAGGGTGGGAGGGAGGGAGATGCAAGAGGGAAGAGATATGGGAACATATGTATATGTATAACTGATTCACTTTGTCATAAAGCAGAAACTAACACACCATTGTAAAGTAATTATACTCCAATAAAGATGTAAAAAAAAAAAAGAGTAGGCATTTTTTAAAATGAGAGTCGTACACAGAAATTAGTGAAATTTCCAAGTGACTAATTCAGTTTCTTTACTTATATATTTAAATGTATATATTATAATTTAGGGAAGTAAAGCAGGGCATACTATAAGTTTAAATCATTTTCAGAATCTAACATACACAGACTTCTCTATAATCATATATTCAATAAGCTATGAACATTTATAAGTCATTTGTGCTACATGTCTACTTGGACTAATTTTAAGTTCTAACTAATAGTAAAACCATGTATTAAACCTAAGTGTTCATAGTCAGACATTCCTCTATTATAACACTAATATAGCCTCTTACCTTTTTATTCTTGGTCTTTTTCTTTTTCTTTGGTTTACTCTTAACCTGATAGATAAGAAATAAATCATTTACTTAATATGCAATTCAAACTGCACAATGGATTATTTTACAAAATGTATTTCCTCTAACCACTGGGATCTTTTATCTTCTAATATAGATCATGCTTTCCTTCTAGATTCTATGGAAAATTATTTTCATCTTAATTTTAATCTCAGTTTTCTGCTTGAGAAATCACTGATGTATAAAGGAACAACATATAATATCAATAAGTAGGCTACTGAAAAGAGCTCAGAGGTCCTCACTTGCACACGTGCATGCATGACTAACAGAGGAGGAAGGCACCTTAAAAAAATCAACATATTCACGTCCATTAGATGAAAAATTAAGCCTAGGAAGAATTTAGTGACTACATAATATCTGTTACCACTTATCTGTAAAGAAATACATCCTGGATGATTTTAATTCTACCTCTGTGTAAATAGCATTGAAATATCCCTGTTTTCTCTTCCTTTCTCTCTCCTTCTATTCCCCGCTATGCTTTCTTCTACTTTCTGTTAACCTCCCACATCCATTCTACCACTCAGGATGAAGAAGCATGTGCCAGGCACATAATAAGTGTTCAATAAATGCTGCCAAAATATATGGCTAAGGCAGGAAAGATTATGGAAGAAAGTATTGGGAAAAGAACCATTCCAATTCAAGCTCTGTGTAAACACTTTGATAAATATAAACTAAGATTGTCTGGGAGGCTTTAAGAATAGCACATGCAACAAGCTAAAAGCCTTAAGTTCTTCTAATTCAAATATTAATGAGCAGTTATACTTCCTGGAGATCTTTAATAGATTCTGTTGAAGATTCACTAGGTATCGATGCCCCATCTTTATTCATTTCTGCTAACTGTATTTCAGGGATTGATTTCACATTTATATTGTACTCCATAAGAGGTGGACTTAGTTCTTCTTCTTCATTTTGTAACTCTTCTATTTCAATACCTAAATATTAAAACCAAAACACTCAAAGTCTGGATGCATATAATTTTAGCCTCTTATCACTATTTTAAATGTATTTACTCCCCACATAACACCACCCCAGAAATAGAAGACATCTTACTCTGTTCAAATACTAAATGAAAATAAAATGCCCATTTATCAATGACCAAATAACAGGTACATATACTAGCCTGAAACCAATCAATATAAACTCAAATGCTAAGATACTTGACTGTTATCTTAAGCAGACTATAGATATAGATAATGTAGAATTTAAGTCAATTCTAAATACTAAGTTTTTGAGTATCCTGACATTGACCTTATTAAATATTGCAACTAGTATTATTTTAGGGCATAAGTCTGAAACATAAAGACAAGGAAAAGCTAGATGTATTTTTTCCCTTTCTTCTTCTTTTTTATAATCAAAGGTTATTAAAGGGTATCAGTCCCCAATTATGTGACTTCTTTGATACCATGATCCTTGACACTGCTCCAGAGATTCAATACCTAAACTTGTGGACTTCATGTGACTGGTCACAGATGGTCCAAACAAAACCCATTGTGTTACTTTCTTAAGTATAATTTTACTCCAAACAAAACTCATGGTGTTACTTTCTTAAGTACAATTTTAATTGCAAAATTTGAATTCCATTTTAAAAAACCCAACAGTACATAAATGGAAATAAAAAAAATTAGCAACTCACCACCTGGCAGAAAAGTATATAGCTTAACAATGGATAGTTAACCAGATAAAAGTTACATAAGCTAAACAGTAGCATATATGAGCAGGTAGAGCAAGCAGGTAGGCATTTTTGCCTGTTGAAGTGCCCTGTGTGTCAAAAGTTAAAATACTCTGTTAGGGTAAACCCTAGGGCATGTGCACTAAGACAAAGGCAGAATAAAGGCTCATACTAGATTCAGCTGACCAGTAGTAATCTGACCATATAATTTTCCGATCTTATAACAAACAATTACAGTTTATCATACAGTTTATCTGACCGAGTAAAAATCTATAGGTGCCCCTTAGCTATCCTGGGTTGAAAGGTCACTTAGGCATTTGGTTTTTTTTTTTTTTTTTTTTTTTTTTTTTTTTTTTG